CATATCCATTCACCAATGTATTTTTTGGGTGTCTATTCTGTGCAAGGCCCTGTTAGGCAGGGCCTGGGGAAAGTTGGTGTCCTTATCTCAGAGCTTACCACCTGGTAGGGGAGCTAGACAGTAAACCAACAAATGAGCAATCGATTATCTACCTATAATCATGAACAATTGATTATAACTATCAGAGGAAGCATAGGGAAGGCTTTCCTGAAGAAAAGAAGGATGCTTATGCTGAACTCTGAATACAGGAGTCTTTGACTAAGCAAGAAAAGGATGAGGGGTTGGGGAGGAAGCCAAAACTAGAATATGCATGACAGCCTTGATGTGGAAATAAGCCTGAGGCAACAGAGGAATGTTAAGACCTAGTGTCTGGAGTCTACAGAGCAAGCAGGCAAAGAGTTTCAGATGAAGCTGGTAAGGCTGTGCTGCTGAATAGTGTTGCCTTAAAGGACTTGCTTGGGGATTTGTCCTCTAGAAGAACAAGGGGGTAGTCATCATGGGGATTTAGAAGGGAAAGCAGTAACCTGATTTGCACTTCAAAAAGATAATACAAGTGGTAAACTTTATGATGCAAGTGAAAAGCAAAGGTATTTCTTAGTACAATTAAATTTAATCCTTGTCTCAATTTTATGATGAACAGGCTATCAGGTTAAGTGGCTCCTGACATTTTTCTTTTATATTCAGTATATTGGATATAGATCTTCTGTCTTTATTTGCATAAAAAATTACTTCTGAAATTTCTTCCTTCTACTCTGAGAAGTCTCTGTGAACTAAGAACATTATTTTGTATCTTTAGGCAACAAGCTTCATGCCTGGCACAAAGCAACAAGTCAGATTTCCAGACTGTGCAGTTCAGTGGTTTGCTTGAGAAACAGATGTTAAGTGGTTAATCATTTATAAGATTGTTTTTTAAATGGACCAACTCTGAACATGAATTCAAGTTTTTAAATGGTCAAACACGTAGTATTTGTTTTAAGCTAAAACTATTAACTAGGTAAAAGTTGATACTAACATCATGAGAGTGTTAGAATAAAAACACTGTGTGTCCACTGATTCCCAGTACTACTGCTTTTCTCCTTTTTACCAGCCACAGAAGATTCAGGAGGTGGTGTTGATGACAAAAAGTCCAAAACCTGTCTCATGTTATAATCCAACTGGTCTAAATTTCAAATATTGTTTCTACTTTCGAAGAAAAAAAGAAGAAACAAAAGAGCTTCAGCAAACTTCATTCAGCACACCATCAACTGAGTAAGAGGATCTCCAGATAGGCTACCCTTGTGACCACCAAAAGAAAATCTATTGCTAGCCTGGAAACCCTGAGGGTAAAATAATGTTCAACAAAAGTACAAAATTATAAGATGAAAATAAGTGCATTTTTGGTGCCAATCTGTTTTAAATTAAAAATATATAATCCTGAAACTAGTCACCAATTCTTTTTTTAAAGGTTCTTATTAATAGTATTTATGGTATTTCCTAGGGCTACCATAACAAAATACCAGACTGAGTGGTTTAAAGCACAGACATTTATTTTCTCACAGTTCTGGAGGCTAGAAGTCCAAGATCAAGGTGTTAGCAGGGTTGGTTTCTATGAGGCCTCTCCCCTTGTAGATGGCCATCTTCTCCCTGTATCTTCACGGTCTTTCCTTTTGTGTGTCCGTGTCCTAACCTCCCCTTCTTATAAGGACACAGTCATAATGGATCAGGGCCCATTCACGATCTCATTTTACCCTAATTACCTCTTTAAATATTCTATCTTCAAATATAGTCACATTCTGAGGTACTAGGGGGTTGAATTTCCACATGAATTTTGGGTGGGGAGACACAATTCAGCCCATAACATTAATAATTGTGATTCATACCTCAAATTCCTTCCTAAACTAGAAATCTCTCATCAACACATCTTAAGAATAATAAATACAGTATATAATTTATAACATTTGTAAGCACTATATACAAAGCAAATAACAGGATGTCAAATTTTATTCCATCTGAAATGCTTATCATCTCTTTCCTCTACTTTTCATTCATGATAATAGAAGGGTGAAGACCATACTGCTTTTGACAGTTTCTAAACTATGTCTATGTCCTATGCCCATCCCTCTCCCCAAGCCTGAAAGCAATTGTTTTACATAAAACTAAGAATATTTTAAAATATTTTATTCTCATTGAAAGAATGATCAGTATATAATGTATTCCCTGGATAATCCTAATGTAAATTAAATCAGATAATAAATGTTATGCATTATTAAGAAGCATGTGATTTGATTATGTAAGAATTTTATTATCAAATGCAGTTTAGAGGAACTTCAACAGAGGTTATTTCTTTAAAAATGATTACTAGAACTATCTATCAGGCATTCTAAATATTGATTTGTCAAATCAAGGACAAACAACTACTACTTCATGATGCACATTTGGACATCAGAGAAATTTAGGATTTCTTCTTTTACTTAATCTATGATCATAGACCAAATAATAATAATTATGCCATAGATTCTGCCACAAATTTACTTGTCAAAGACATCTAAATATTAATGAATCAGACTGACAAATTATGAACTTCAAATGTTTTGTTATACAGAAGATGTTGTTCAATTTGAAGCGGTCAAGAAAGAGTAAAGTCACCATTCATTTTATGTTTACAAGTAAAAATAGTAAGATTTAGAATCATATGATTGCTACTTTCACATTAGTATGTAAGATCTGTGGGAAGTAAAATTTTGTCTATTTTTTTTGTCCTGATAAGGATTGTTGATTTTTTAATTTAAATTCATAATTAACACATAATGTATTATTAGTTTCAGAGGTAGAGGGCTGTGATTCATTAGCCCTATATAACACCCAGTGCTCCTGACATCACGTGCCCTCCTTAATGCCCATCACCCAGTTACCCCATTCCCTCCATCCATCTCCCCTGCAGCAACCCTCAGTTTGCCTATTTTTGTCTGTTTTATTCCTGACTCTATCCTGGCACTTAGAGAGTAGTGCCTGGTACAAGGTAGGTTCTCAGTGAATATGAATGAATATTTTGAATAAATGTCATAACAAACAGGTATAAATGAGGAGTGCCCATAAGGTAGTAAAATATTTTTTAGAGGGGAAAAAACTCATTCAATATATAGACACAAATGGGTGTTGTCTATTAAGTCATCACCTTGAATAAGTGATACACATACACCTTCTTTCCATCACTTAAAAGAATTTTGAAGCTCCACTTTTAGGATTATTTTAGAAACTGCCTAAGAACCTCTTCCTTTAGCTTTTGTGTGATTTTGGACTCCAAATTATCAGCTCAAACAACTTCCCCTCCTCATTCACTAGAAAGCAAACTGAGGACCAGAGATACACCACCCCTGAAGGTCTGCAAAAATAGGAACTTTGCTTAAGTAAGAGCAAGCAGAAGAAAGCATTAACTTCATATCCCAAACCAGTGGCCCACTGAACACTACTGACTGCACTATAGCCAAATGTGAGACAAGTATCTCAGAGAATTAATCTTTAAACTCATCTTGAGGTCTTTTCAAATACTTCTTAAAAACATGACTTCCATTATGTATGAATCGACTGTTATGATTATATATAATGATCTAAATGTTAATGAACCTGATGTCCATAAACCATACTTGCAATACCAAATACATGGATCTGTTTTAAGAGCCTAGTTTTTCTAGTTATCACTTAATTTTATAGGAATTTTCTTTTCTTTTTTTTTTTTTTTTTAATTTTTATTTATTCATGATAGGCACACAGTGAGAGAGAGAGAGGCAGAGACACAGGCAGAGGGAGAAGCAGGCTCCATGCACCGGGAGCCCGACATGGGATTCGATCCCGGGTCTCCAGGATCGCGCCCTGGGCCAAAGGCAGGCGCCAAACCACTGCGCCACCCAGGGATCCCAGGAATTTTATTTTCTGATGATCACTATGAATATATTTTTTATCATAAAAACGTTTTAGCTACATATATACTGATTATCAGTTTGCTGCTGGACATTTTTTTTTTTCTGCTGGACATTTCAACACTTTTTCCTCAGAAACCAAGATTCCTTTTTATTCACTATAAGTAGTGAGATTAAAAAAAAAAATTTGTTTAAGAAATAAGGGGATTTAAAAACAATGTTCAATATTAATAAACCAATACTGATTTACTGTTTTTTGATGGTTTATAAAGGATTGCATAATTATTTCCTAGAGAGTTCCTTTGTAGCAATCTCACATATAATAGAAGCCTGATGAATATTTGAATTAATGAATAACATCTATTTAATAAAAGGAAAATCTCTGATACTAACCATTTAAAAGTAAAACACTAAACTACTTATCCTGCAATTTAATGCTAATCATTCCAATGTTTAAATGCCATTTAAAATAGTTTATCTTCAACAAAATAGTTGAAATGCTGTGATTGCTTTCTATAGGTCCTCTCTCTTCACCAAATCGTCCATTTTCTCCTCTATCCATCTCTTTATTCTTTATAAAAATGGGCTAAAACCTTTTTTAAAAAATTAAATCCATTTAAAAATTTGATGAAATCTATGGACCCTTTCCCTCCAAAAAATACACATAATCATCAAACTCACATACAGATTCTAGGAGTACTTAGCACACCCACTGACTCTGAGGGGTATGATCATCAAATTAAGAAGTTACATTTTATAATATATCCTGGCATATAAGTATATCCATATTTTATGACTGTATCTGAGATAAGCTCTAGCAATACTATTATTCAGGTAAATTATCTTATAGAATCTCTCTGTTGGAGAGTCAACTTTTGTGAACCTAATAATGTTTAAGACTTCTGGGACCTCATCTGCCATGCCCTGCCACCCCATGGTATTAATTTACTTTATAATAAACTACTCACATGCTGGGAAGTCAAATGTGATTATAACAAACTCCCTTAAATAGTATAGGTGAGAAGGAAGCAAAAGAAAGGTAAGGCTAGAAACTGGTAGTAATGGGAAAGAGGGGTGCTGATATATCAAAAGAAAGCAAAAAAGTTGAAGACATACTTACTCTATTTTATCATTTTTGCAAGACACCAATAATTCTAATAATTTAAACTAATTTAGGCAAAGGAAGATAAATAAGAATGAGTAAAGACAACTACAAACTGCAGGAACAATGGACTCCCTGTACAGTGTACTAGCTTCATCCTCTACGAGCTATAAATGGAGCAGTTGTAGGATAAGCAATTGAAAAGATACATAAGAGATGGGAAACATGTCTCCAACAGAACTGAAAGACTTCCAAAGCAGCCGACATCTTGAAAGTAGTTGGATTTTTATTTCCGAAGACAAACCACTCAAGCTGCAACTTGTAGGAAAATTTTTTGTGAAGAGTTTCAAAAAAAAAAAAAAGTTTCAAAGAGTACTTTCACATTAAGGAATGTGGGCTTCTCTCTTCCATCTCACAGAAATAAATCTTGAAAATAGTCATCAAATTCTTCTTCTCTATTTAAAAGAAAAAGTATACATATTGATTAAAATCAACAGTTACAGAAAAAATTACTGGATGACATATGTGATTAATGAAAATAAAATATTTTAACTTAATATAATTTGCTGATTTTTATATATATTGGTATATTTCATGATACAGCCATCAAAACTAAGAATTAGTTTTTGGAATAATCATAACTATACTCAGACTGAGTAAATTTAAAATGTTTTACATGTTGCCACCTCTCCCTAAATGTTTTTTTTCCAAAGATTTTATTTATTTATTCATGAGAGACACAGAGAGAGAGGCAGAGACATAGGCAGAGGAAGAAGCAGGTTCTCCACGGGAAGCCCAATGCAGGACTAGATCCCAGGACCCAGGGATCATGACCTGAGCCAAAGGCAGATACTCAACTACGAGCCACCCAAGCGTCCCTCCCTAAATGTATTTTTTACCTAAGATTTTTACCTTAAAGTATATTCTTTGTGAAATGTTACTGCTTTTCTTTACTTTTTTGGTGGACTTTGTAACTTATCTGTTCATTCTCATTCCAAACTATATAGTCTTTTTTTTTAATTTTTTAAAAAATTTTATTTATGATAGTCACACACACACAGAGAGAGAGAGAGAGAGAGAGAGAGAGAGAGAGAGAAACTATAGTATGATCAAGAAATGAATGAAGAAGAAAACTATTTTCAGGAAAAAAAACAAGTCTTACTCCTAGGAATGGGGAAAACCTGCTTAGGCTATAGGTTTTTATTGCTCTGAGAATAGTAAATATATTTGTAGCAGTAAATATCATGTCTCAAACAATGAGTCAAACTCTGAAAGGAGATATGAAATTGTATTATATAATATGTTAAAATACTATGAAAACTGTGTCAAGTACTAAATAAATATTAGCGCTGGGAACCAGAGTGGTACAGGAAAATACGACAGGGTTTCAAGTCAGACAGTGTTTAAGTCCCAGCTCTGTCACTTATTGGCTTAGATGAGCAGGTTTACTTAACTTCTCTGGGCTCAGTCTCCTTATTTATTCAATGGAGAACATTATATTTCTTCACAGAGGTGCTGTGAGGATTAAATGTATATACTCGCAGTTGTATATTTGTATATTGTTGTATATTGTTTTCTTCCTTCTGGGATAGGGAATCATGCTGGAAAATCAAATTGAGTCTACCAATCTCTTCAGAAAAAAGTTTTTATTTTTATTTTTTTATTATTTTTTTATTTTTTTAGAAAAAGTTTTTAGATGAAGGATCTACAATGGCACTACATTATCTGGTTTCAAGTAACTGTGAATGCATAAAGCCATTATACCCATGTTCAAATTTTTTAAAAAATTACAGAATCAGATAAAGTTGATTTAAGAATAATCTTCAATTTGGTATTCCCCATGTTATTGTCCCTTCTTCCCCAATATGAAAGCAAAATGCAGTAAAATTTTAAAAATTGAAGAACTTAATAATATAGGAAATTAACTGAATTTCTGTGTAGGTTTAGATGTTTAGTACTTAATCAATGTCAAGTATTTGTAAGCTCACAAAGAGTGATGGATTTTGAGTTTTCTTAGGATTTACTCAAGTATCATCACTGCCTAAAAAGGTGAGCTGATCTTAAGTCCTATTTTGTCATTTTCAACGACAAAGCTCCTTAATGGGAAGTTATACCATTAAAAGTTTAGTCCACTGTTTAATTAGAATAGCAGAATTTTACAGTGAAAACTTTTTTATAATCTGTTCTATAATGATTACACATTTAGGAATTCTTTATTTGGCTAGGGGGAAAAAAGTTAAGGTCACAGAAAAAAGTTATCTTCTTTAAAGATTATTAAACACACCTGAATTCTATTACACTGAGAACATATCATAAATAGCAAGATGTTTCATAATCAGCTTAAATTAGTGAATTATGATAGATTCAACAGGTGTCTTTCCATTATGAACCAATATGCCTAAAGACTAAAAAATGGCACTAAAATTTGAGAACTCATATTTGTAGGTATTGTACCAAGTGCTTTACCTTCTTTATTTCATTAAATCTTCATAATAAACTCTATGCAGTAGTTATTATTTTATTGTCTTTTAACAGATAAAGCTCAAGGGCTAAACATCCCTGCATATGACAAGAGTTGATAAAATTTAAGCCCACATCCAGACAGCTCTTCCAACCCAAAGCAGATAACAATGTGCACACTGAGTTATCTGTCTTTGGGGGGCTAAGGTAGCTGTTGCCAAGTAAACCTTTACCCATACATAGCTTTAAGGGGCTCCCTGTACAAGTTTATGATGATCAGAATATCATGAATAGGCTGCTCTGAAGTAGGAAACAGCCCTTCTCTGAAGGATTCCAAGCAAAGACCAGAGGGTCATTTGTCAAGGTGAGCTGAAGAAAGGTTTACTCACTGAGAGGAAGCTGGATGAGTTAGCTATTTATGGCCACAAACAATGACTTCCGGGAATAAACTCTGATCTTACCATGCTAGACAGTCCTTGGCATTAAAAAGACATTCATGACAAGCTTTTTCATTAACTGTTATCAAGAATGGCTGTGGTTGTAGCTTCTTTACTGATGCAAAGGGTATACATTATCTATTAATATCAGGACTCACTGTGATTTTTCATCTGTCTCTGGTAGGGGGCCCTTCCAAAGTTCAGAATCTGAAGTACCTTCTTCATCAGAATTTCCTGTTCATTTAAAAAGAGATTTTTAAAAATGTATTATATTTAAAACACATTTTGAACTACCCACCAATGCAACTAAATTAACCTCAGATTTAACAGCAGTTTATTTTTAACATTTATGGCTCTGAAGATGTAATTCACGCTTTCAGACCAATAAATTCTTTTTTAAAAATAAATAAATAAGCTGAGCTATACCCAAGAGTCTCAGCAAAAAAAAACAAAGAAAGTCTCATGGGAAAATTCCCTAAGTTACACTGAGTTAAAGTAGCAATTCCAGTATTAACTTTTAAAAAGGAACTATCTCTTGCAATACAATTGTCTTTTAGTTTCTTCTTTCTGTTGGCATACAAAAGACATGCAGGTTAAGATTTGGAGTATAGGTAGAGTATATTTACATTAGGATCAAGAACTCAAAAAACAAGCTAGTATGTAGGACTAGCTAGTTAAATTATAAAAAATATTGTCAGACGCTTTTAAAAATTGATGCTGATTAAATTAATTATAAGAAGTTGGTTTCAGTAAAGAACTAGGCATACATTGTTAGGAGTAAAAATTATGTAAACTTTTCTTTAGGAAAATTTAACAATATGATCAGTTTAAAATGTACATATCCTTTGACCAGCAATGCTGCTTTTAACGATTTAATTATTTACTTAAGCACCTGAGATACATGTACAAAGACATTCATTATATAACAACAAAAGAAAACAACCTATATCCCACCAATTAGTGATTAAGGATGGTTAAATTAATATTATACAACTGTTTAAAAAACCTTAATTAGCATATCTATATGTATTACCATGGAAAAATGTCTGCGCTGTATCAAATTTTTAAAAAGTTAAAGCAAAAAAAAAATTACAGAAAGCATTCATTGTATAATCTAATTTATGATTACATATGTGTATATAAACTGTAAGTTTATAAGGACCAACCAAACTTAACAGTAATTATACTACCTGTGGGCCTGGGATACTTTCACTTTATCTTAAGTATTTCCAAAGTTTTTTGTATTTTAAACAATAATCATGTATTACCCTTAAAAATCAGTCAAAATAATAAAGATATTTCTATTTCTTAAATATAACAAAATAGACATGTTTCAGAAAATCACCCTGTATTAGTGAACTAAAAATTATCAAACTCTGAAAAATGTATTACCAGGCAATAAAAGTATATGCCATAAAGTAATTACATTACAAATAGCTCCTCTCCAATAAGTTAGTCTCAAAAAGAACGGACACAAATTTGGCCTGTCAATACAGCATGTCCTTTACTTAAACACACATAAAAATAAAACAGCATTGATTTGCCACAGTGGTTTTAGCCTTTTACCTGTTGGACTTTGATCCTTGAATCAATATGCATGTCTGAACTTTGGTCCTAACTGCATCTATTCTGTCTAGCATAAATTTTAACAAAAATGGCAGGGAAAAAAGAAAAGGAAAGAGGTTGTACTATTTTTTTTTTTTTTAAGGAGGGAGTGGGGGAGGAGCAGAGGGAGAAGGAGAGAATCTTAAGCAGGCTGCATGCCCAGTGTGGAGCCTAAAGTGGGGGGCTCAATCTCACAACCCTGACATGATGACCTGAGCTGAAATCAAGAGTCAGATACTTAACTAACTGAGCCATCAGGCGCCCCAGCAGTTATATTTTTAATGGTATACAGAGAAAGACAGTAAAAAGATGGTAAGATTATAAAGCCTTGGGAATCAGATTCCCATGCAATGACAATCAGCACTGAAACTGCCAGTGTCTCAAACTGAATGTGTTGAGAAGAGAGAATAAGTGTTCTACTCTTATTTTTATAAAAACTCACTAACATGAGATAAAGCACAAAAAAACTAATTAGGCCTAATGGTTAACATTACAGTGTTACCCTGTTAATGATGTCAGAGAACAAAACTTCTACAAGATCTTTGAAAGTGGGCAGCTAATTTTAAAAGGCCTTGCAACCACCTGTCCTCTTGTTCCCTTTCAAGAGTATTTCCCACATGCCAGCTTCCCTGCACTAGTTTTCTGATACCAGATAACCCAGTTTTACTAAAAGATCAAATCAGTTTAGAATATTCTAAAATAACTCTGCTTGAAGGATTACATGCTTTAAAAGTAGCCAAATATTGTTAGAGAATCAAATCTGAAAGACTGGACTACATGGCCTTTAAGTTCAACTCTGTGAACCTATACCATCCCAGTTCCTAGAGAGTGGCAGCAATTAGAAACCATTCCTAGGGTAACTGGTAAGGCCAGCCGGAGGTAGGAGAGGCACTGCTAAGGAAATCCCAATGAGAAGAACAGGCAATACAAAGGGTGCTCTTGTATTAGTGTCAAAGCTGTGCAGTAGTTATTAGCAAGTGGGGATCAGAATGTAAACCACTGACTTGCTGTGTGGGATTCTGCAGGTCTTTAATCTAGCCCTCATATAATGATTGAGTCTCTTACTGCAAGAGAGTGGCTGTTCAATCTATGCTTAAACACCTACTTCCTGAAGCAGCCCATTCCTCCATTCCTTTCCTCAGATAGTTCTGACAAATTTTTCCTTAAATTAAGGCAAAAATCTGTCTCTGGGCAATTTTTATCCATAGATTCTAGTTCTGCCAAATAGTCACCAAAAATAAGTTTCCTACCCAAAAGCAATTTACAAACATCTACAGTTTCCATGTCTAACTCCTTACCCTTCCCCTCCCATTCCTTCACTTTTCTCCAAACTAAACTAATCTATATTTCCTTCAACTTTCTTCCTATGACACAAATTCAAATTCTGTCAATGCCTTGGATATTCCATTCTTGACCAGCTTTAAGTTTCCAATGTTCCTTTTAGCAATGTGATGCAAACTGCATACAATTTGAATTGTCTGAATAATGAAAACAGACCTGTCATCTTGGTTTTTCTAGATATTATATTCTAGATATTACCTAAATAACTTGGGTTTCCTGAAGAAGTGGCAAGTCTACAATTATGGTAACAAATGAACAGGTCCAACTTTTACAAGACTTAACTTTTGATATGACCAATTTTAGAGAACAAAACATAGAATCTGTTTAATGTCTGTTTTTTTTTTTTCTTTTCTCCAACAATAATAGCTGCAGGTTATCAAGAACTTACCTTTCTGCTGGACACATGTTTTACATATATATTGTTTTATTTGGCTCTGATAATAATAAAACAAAGTTAAGTCTCTTTATATCCATTTTACAGAAAGAACTGAGACACAGATCAAATTATTAAATGCAGGTTTGTAGAATGTATCTGCCCAAATTAGAGTAAAAAGAATAAATTTACATTTGATTCACTGATGAACAGTTATTGATGATATAGGTAAAGGGGCATAGACTTTGTGGAATTATAAATCTGTGTTTCATCCCAATTTTGCTATTAACCAACTACTAGATTTTAGGCAATTTATGTAAGTCTTCGGGTCTTGGTTCTCCTGTCTGCAAAATGGGATACCATATGCCCATTATTAAGATTAAATGGTGTAACACAACTAAACCACTTGCCATTGTGGCTGATGGAGTAGATAATCAACAAAGGCAAGTTAAAATTACTTTTCCCCACAGAAATAGGGTTTTTCTTCATGGATTTGGTTTTTATAATCCATATGTTAAATAATGGTAAAAAAGTAACAGAGCATTATCCAATTGGAAATGGAAGATAGTATGTATATATATATATTACTTTGGCCCAAATACCATGAGTCTATCTATCAGTCTCATGCCTAGTTATGTTCTAGAAACTCACATTTTTACCTAATTTAGGAAAAGGAGCTACAGATCAATTAGGATTCACATGGGAAGAAACAAACTATCAGTGCTTTAGAACAATTCAAATATGCTGAAAACAAAATTGGTATGGACAAAATAATTTATAAGGAATATGTTGTATTCCTAAACTAGAGGAATACCTCCACTGACACCTCCCTCTCCATTCAATCTTTAAACGATAAATATCTTAAAACTTCTCTTTTTCTATTTTTCACAGTGCAAAATTTCTGATTACCGACCACTTAAAAACTCTCCTTAAGTGGGGATCCCTGGGTGGATCAGCGGTTTAGCGCCACCTTCAGGCTGGGGCGTGAGCCTGGAGTCATGGGATCGAGTCCCATTTCGGGCTCCCTGCATGGAGCCTGCTTCTGCCTCTGCCTGTGTCTCTGCCTCTCTTTCTCTCTGTGTCTCTCTCATGAATAAATAAATAAAATCTTAAAAAAAAATTCTCCTTAAGAATTACATTAAAATGCTAATAATATTTCTCTCTGAATGGTGGGATTTGGAGTAATTGCTAATTTTTTTTTCTGAGTTTGCCACAGTAAATATAACTTTAAATCAGAAAAAAAAAAAATCTTAAGTTTAGAAATTTCCAAGCCTAGAAGTCTCAGAAAATAAGTCTAGATATTATAAAATAAATTAGATATGTTATTGAACTGCACTTTATTATTAGCCCTAACCCTACTGCAAGGTCTTTAAGAAATCTGATACTGTATTACTACTGAGATGCAAGGCTACTGCTTGTTGTATCACAGGTGGGTGCCCTCTTTTATGAATCCACAAGAGAGTCTGCTTTCAGAACTCTGCCTGGAAAAAGGTGATCATATGCATACAATAAATCATTCTATTGGTGGTTTCCTTCGTCTTGGTTGTTTAGAGTAACAGTGACATATGTGTGATCTACCTATGTAATTATGCAGGACTTTTTGGTAAACATTTGTTAATTTTACCTCAAGCTCTACTTTGCTATTCTATCTTATTTTTCCATTATTCTGATTTTACTTTTTAAAATTCTATTTTACTGTATATATATTTATAAATCATTTTAATGTTCAAGTACTTATTAAAAAACTATCCAGTTGTGGGCAGCCCGGGTGGCTCAGCGGTTTAGCGCCGCCTTCCGCCCAGGGCATGGTCCTGGAGACCCGGAATTGAGTCCCACGTCGGGCTCCCTGCATGGAGCCTGCTTCTCCCTCTGCCTGTGTCTCTGCCTCTCTGTGTCTCTCATTAATAAATAAATAAAACTTAAAAAACAAACTATCCAGTTGTAACTAGTTGCCAACTTTTACTTTCCATGCACAAACCACACATTTCATTTGATCAAAATCACCAAATAACAGAGATAACTCAGCATACAATATAAGTAACATTTCTTAAATCTTAATCCACTTCTCCAATTCTTTCTCCATTCCAACCTCATTCTTCTACTTTTCTTTCTTTATATTCTATATAGTGAAATTAAAGTGTATATCCATTATATTTACTGAAAAAGAAATTTTATGTTCTTCTATTTTAAAATAAAGTTTAATATGTTCAAAATTGGGGAAGAAATCATACACTTTTGTTATTTTTTTCTATGGCTTATTTACACAGTACAAAAATAAAAAAATAATACATCAGAGCAAGTCACAATTGATGAGAAACCCAAACTGTGAATAACTTGAATCTATATATTTTTATTAAATAAATACTAGATACTTACTGTTTACACAACTTTCTGATTTCTTTGAGGATGAATGCCCTGAAAGGAAAACAGCATTGTTTTGTTAAAAATCATTTTGCAATGGTGTAACTAACAGTTACAGCTGTAACCAGAATTCTTCCCAAGACTAGTTTACATAATCTTCTAATCTTTCATGTTCCTCAAATATCTCTCTCTAATTAAAATACCTCTTTTAGGGATGCCTGGGTGGCTCAGTGGTTGAGCATCTGCCTTTGGCTCAGGATGTGATCCCAGAGTCCCAGGATCGAGTCCCACATCAGGCTCCCTGCACAGAGCCTGCTTCTCCCTCTGCCTGTGTCTCTGCTTCTCTCTCTCTGTGTCTCTCATGAATAAACAAAATCTTTAATAAATAAAATAAAATACCTCTTTTAGGCAGAGATATTTTATGCCTAGAATATATAGCACAAAGCTTATAAAAAGTAATGAACACCTGTAAAAAAAAGAAACTCATGTGCTAAAAAAACTTCATAGATTAACTGCAATATAAGTATTTTATCTATAGCAATGTTCAACGTCTGAAAGCAATTTACAAATACTAATTTTTCACAATACTTTTTCATATACAGATGAGAATTCTTAGTAACTAAAATTCATACAAATATTATTCATAAAATAGTTTCAGTTCTACAATAGTTACCCAGTGAGAGAAATAGAAAGAAAAAAGTACTAAAAATCTACTAGAATAATTTTTAAAAATCACTCTAGAGTCTCCTGTAATAAGACTACAAGGGAAATAATTCTGAAGGCTGATAAAAAAAAAAAAAAAGATAACAGATGGAGAGTAATGACCCCTACAACCTCCTTGGACAGGAGATCTCCTAAACTGAAGCTGACGCATAAATGGCCCCTTTCAGGCCCAATGAAGAGGGTGTCAGAAGTACAGGGTAAAGACTCCACAGGAAGCCAAGGCCTGGACTACAGCAACTACTTTAGGTTATTGTTTTTGTTTTGTTTTGTTTTGTTTTGGGGTTATTGTTTCTTCACTCTGATTTCCTACTTATCAGAAAGCAAATAAAAACATAGCTAAGCTGGTGACAAATTCTTCTCTGTCATATGAGAAATATAATACCCATTTCCAAATGTCTATAGGTAAAAAAAAAGATTAGGCTTACTTTGGAGGCCTAAGGATATAACTGGAATCAAAGGGCAGAAACTGCAGATTTGGGCTAAATTAGTTAAAGAGAAACTTGCTAGGATTACAACTAACTGAAATGTAAAAGGATATTTTGGATGGTAGTAAGTTCCTCTTCCCTGGAAGCAAAAGCAGAACAAGTACTTGATATAGAGCAGTACATCTCAACTTTATGGTGCATATGAATCATCCCAGAACCCGGAATTGTAATTCAGGAGATTGGGGAAGGGTCTGAGATTGTACACTTCTAACAAGTTTCCAAGTGATGACAATGCCAAAGGACCATACTTTGAAAAGCAAAACCACAGAGTATCTTTTTGATCATGAACCCAATGCTGAATTCTGATGTTCCTTTCAATTTGAGAAACTACTGTTTCACTGACTGACTCACTCACCTAACATTTATTGAATGCCTATTATGTGGAGAAAGCACAGTGCTTAGAAACTGGAGACAATTAAGTCTCACAGTTCCTTCCTTAACAGAAAAATTATTCCGAGGGTGCAATGTATTTCTAAAGGAGAAGTGCAGGGTGCTACTGGCATGTGTAACAGTGACTTAACCTTGCTTAGAAGAGTGGGGTGAAGGATGTCAGGAAAGGACTTCCCAAGGAAGTGAGTTTGGGGATGCAGTGGTAGTGGTAGGAGCGATAAGATCTTCTACTTTCTGCCAAAAAAATTCTACCTAAGTACCTTGTTCTGCTTAGACCTGCCAAAGCAGACTGGTCCTCAAAGTCAAGTTATTGATCTTACATTTTCTCTCTATTCAGTCATTCAGCTAACTAGCTATCCAATTATCCATCCATCCACCCATTTACTTAACACTTTATATGGTAGTAACCTGACACTACAGGAGTAAGTGGGATCACACAGGGAGAACAGAGAGAAAGAAGAAAAGTTCAATAAAAGCCTTGGGCAATTCCAACACTGAGGAGGACCTATAATCAAGAGGCAGAGGAGAAGCCAGAAAGATAGGATGAAAATCAAGAAAGCAGACTGTTTTGAGAACTTTTCTCAACAGTTCAAATGCAGCTATTAAGCATTTATTAATTACTATTCAAGTTTGGGCCAAATTAAAGTGGTCGGGAAGCCCGGGTAGCTCAGCGGTTTAGCGCCACCTTCAGCCCAGGGCATGATCCTGGAGACCCAGGATCGAGTCCCATGTCAGGCTCCCTGCATGGAGCCTGCTTCTCCCTCTGCCTGTGTCTCTGCACCCACCCCCTCTGTGTTTCTCATGAATAAATAAATAAAATCTTAAAAAAAAAAATTAAGGTGGTCTGGCTATAAAGTATCACATCAAAATCAAGCTAGTTCCAGATGATCCCAGATACAATGATATTGCAGAGTTCCACATGGTTTTCCTTAGTTTGCTAAAGTGTTGTCATTTTCTGCTTTACACCATAGAAGTTGAAAAAAACTTTATCCTGTACTCTGCTATCAAAGGTAAATAAAGAATAAAGAATAAATGAGAAACAGTTATCTCAATTCCACTCTGCTTTGATTCTCTATTCCTGACGTCCTGAAATAATCTTCAAAGTCTTTCATTCTCTCATTCTTTATTATTTACACCTAACATGCGCTAGTGGGGTGCTGAGGATACTAATTGGAAGTACTAATTTAAATTCATGGTCAGGGATGGAATCAAGAAAGGATCAGTGACATTTAAACTCAGACCTGGAGGATGAGTTAGGATGGGACCTGGCAGTGGGGGAGGGGTTAGAAAGAGAGGAAGCAGTATCTACATATTCCCTAAATGGAAAGAAGTTTGGCGTTTTCTAGAAACTGAAAGGCTATGAGCATGGAGTGTGAAAGTGAGGTGGAGTGTGGTGAGAAACAAGTGTTGTATTATGGATCATACAGAGCACCTGGGCTTTGTGCAGATTTTGGTACTATCCTAAGAACAACAGGAAATCACTGCTTTATTGAGAAGGCATTAAGGGGAGGGCAGGTGGGATGACAACACAGTGGCAAAACTAGTAAGGACAATATAGCAGTAGTCTAGATGAGATAACATGGTGATTTGAATTAGGGTGGAGAGAACTTGAGAAATATATACTCTGAGGGTAAAACTGACAGGATTTAGTGACAAATTAAACAAATAATAAGAGAAAAGATGTCAAGGATAATTTCCAGATATCTGATTAGTTTTTAGGTTGACAGAGGTGTCACCTACTAAAATATGGAACACTACAGGGAAAACGACTATAAGGAAGAAAACATGCATATGTATGTATAAGACTATAAGGAAGAAAACATGCATATGTATGTATAATCTGAGGGGTCCAATCCTATAACTGATCCTGAGTATCCAGCTACCTAATTGTCTGCTATGAAGGTACTAAAGAAGATTTTACAAGGTAGGAATTATTCTTTAATTTGGAATATGTAGTGATTAACATGGTATCATACTATGATATAAATATAATATTATATAATACAATAATGAATACAACAAAACTCTCAAGTATGATACATTAAACATTTTTAAAACAAAAATGTTTTAAACTCAAATGGAATTTCACATTAATTAATCAAGTTATTTTGGAGTTGGGAAATGATTAAGATAGACACAAAAAGGCATTCTGCTTCAAGTACCATTTCCCAATTAACAAAAACAGTATTTTCTCCTCACCATCTATCAGTATCACCAAGTTTTCCACTTGGTGATATTATATGCTTGAATATGTTAAGATTCACTAGAAAAGTACATGTAAGAATGAAACCTATCTAATAATCTTCATAGCTGGAGCAAGGGAGCCCTCTCCTGTCCAAGTATTGTGTTAACATTAGGCATAATCTAATATAGTCTACCATTAGCTTCATAATTTAAGTTCAGTTCACTCTAAGTTATAGCAAATTTGACTGTATTATGGCCTGAAAAAGAAACTGACAGTAACCTTCATAACAGCTAACTATGCACCAAGCACCGTGCAAACTGCTTATATGCATTATCTCATTTCAACTTCTGAACATTCCTATGAGCTAGGATCTACTGTCATGACCATTTCATATATGAAGAAATTAAGGCTTAGAGAGCTTAAGCAGTACTGAGGAAGAAGTGAGTGAATGACTGATGGATTTGAATTTAACAATTATTTACTACGCATACGTGCACAGCACCATGCTAGGTTCTGAGGATACACATATATATCAGGCTCCATGATTTCAGAAGCTCATAGACCATGGTAATGAAATCCCAGTACTACAATTTTACACGGACTTATAGATAATGTAATGCTTTACAGTGTTCAAAATGCCTTTCACATTCTTACTTGGTTCTCCACAAATAAGCTCAAATAGTACAGAAGCCAGATATTCACATCACCCAACTTATATAAGGAATGTAAAACTAAAGTAGTTCAGGTATTTTCTCAAGGTAACAAGTCTATTAGAGACAATATCAGGAAGGAGAATGTTGTTTGCAAGATTATTACCATCTGCCCAAAATGGTAATACCATTTCTTGAATTTGTATTAAAACCAACCTTGTTCTTGAAACTCTTTAAAAGTTGCTATAAATTCTTATCTAAATTCCCCAACCAGGGGGCACCTGGGTGGCTCAGTCAGTTAAGAGTTCAACTCTTGATTTTGGCTCAGGTAATGATCTCAGAATTCTGAGACTGAGCCCCATGTCAAGCTCCATGCTGGGCTCCAGCTCTGTGCTGGGTGTGGAGCCTGCTTAAGATTGTCTCTCTCCCTCTGCCTCACACTCCTTTTCTTTAAAAAAAAAAAAAAAAAAAATCTTATAAATCCCCCAACCAGTTTCCTTTCAACCACTGTAAGATTTATTTTTTATTTGAGAGACAGAGCAAGCTATGGGGTGGGGGCGGGAGCTGGGAGGGGGTGGCAAAGGGAGAGGGAGAAGAAGCACCTGACTTGGGGCCAGGGCTCCATCTCACAACCCTGAGATCATGACCTAAGCCAAAATGAAGAGCTGGACACTTAACTGACTGAGCCACCCAGGCACCCTCCTTTCAACTTGTAAGAACAGAAATCTAAATGCATTCACCAATTAAATTCTACATTTGACACATATAGCAGATTACATTTCATGTTAAAAAATGTGAGTAGATATTATATTTTGATTTCCTTTTACCTTTATCCTTTTTCTTAGAGGTCTCTTCTGCAGAAAATAATCTGGATTTTTTATGTGATGACTCTTCATCTTTTTTGGTTTTGTCCTTTCTTTTTTTTGACTTGACTTCTTTTCTCCTTTATATTGAACAATATAAAATTAAAGTTAACTTTTTTAACTGACCTTTATGAAATATAAGAACCAATGAGCAAAAAGTCAAATCAGTTAAAGTAACTTATTTTTACAATGTAATTTACATAAGGAACCCTCAGATGAATCTGTAAATACTTTAGGTTAGGTTGGTACATTAAAGACAATTCTGTAAGATAATAAAGCCTAAAACTCTAAGACAAATTATTTTTTATAAGTTCTGTATACAAGCCTTAGTAAATATAAATCATAGTTTTACTCATTTCCTCATTTTCTATCACTTAGCCTTTTTTTTTAAATTACAAAATCAAATGTCATTTCCCTCCATCTAATTCATAGCTACCTATATTTTGAAATAAATAAATAAATAAATAAATAAATAAATAAATAAATAAATAAATAAATAAATAGAAGAAGAAGAAGAAGAAGAAGAAGAAACAATGCTGTAACAGCTCTAAAATACCACTAAGGGCAGCCCTGGTAGCTTAGCGGTTTAGCGCTGCCTTCAGCCCAGGGCTGATCCTGGAGACCCCGAATCGAGTCCCACATCGGGTTGCCTGCATGGAGCCTGCTTCTCCCTCTGCCTGTCTCTCTATCTCTGTCTCTCTGTCTCTCTCTGTGTCTCTAATGTATAAATAAAATCTTAAAAAAATAAAAAATAAACTACCACTAAGTAGAAAATTCTTCTGTTATGAATAAAAGAACACAGTATCAGACATTTGGTGTATGTGCTTGGCTGAGGAGCCAATGAATGGGGCGAAGCTACCATCTGTGGGATTATGACTGAATGCCTCTAAGTCAGAATCCCACCCAGGGCTGAACGATAAGGCAGCGCTGCGGAGCTCCGGTTGGCCTCGGTTGATTGGCCTCGGATAGCCGGTCCCCCGCCGGCCCCAACACGCGTGGGGACGGAGGTCCGGTGTGGAGAGCCCCTCCTCCCGGGAAACGGGGCGCAACAGAAAGGGGGCCGCGCCCTCGCCCCTCACACAACACACATTCGTGGGGAACCTGGTGCTAAACCATTCGTAGACGACCTGCTTCTGGGTCGGGGATTCGTTTGTAGCAGGGCAGCTCCCTCGCTGCGATCTACTGAAAGTCAGCCCTGGACATAAGGGTTTGTAAAAAAATAAATAATAATAAAAAATAAAAAATAAATAAAAGAACACAGTAAAGCATAAAGGAATGAGGATGGAGGGGCTTACTGTTAACTCAAATGTCTACTTTACACCATTTGTCCTTTTACTGCTATAGCTTTATCTCTTCTAGGCCAGGTTTACAAGGCTGTCACTACCATATTTGGGCAAGCAATTGATTTTAACTGGTTAAGAAAGGAAATACTAGACAGGAAAAGGTGATAATGCTGAAACTAAAACCAGGAAGGAGAATGAAGAGACAACAAAGAGGTTCAGTTTCAAGAAACATACTCATCAGACCTCCCAAATTAAGGAACTTATACCAAATGCTATAATACTATTTAAGGCAATAACACGTTCTCTCATAAGAATTATGTCAATTTTGAAATGAAGCTTGAAAGTCAAAGTCAAAAGCCTCTCTGATATCTTTCAGTATCACTGATGGGAGAGTGGAAATAAAGATTAGGCTATTCGAGTAATCTAAAAAATCCTGCTTTCAAGAATTTAAAAATTATTCATTACTTAATATTTATTTTTAATAACTAGAATTCTAGATTGCTAACATTTATAACATAGCTGATTTTTAATTTAATATACTGACATACACATTTTATAAAGTTGCAGAATCTCATTATTAAACTTTCAACTGTTATTCAGGCCCTGAAACCTGACCATCACAATAATGATAGGTCACAGATTTTCTCTGAACATCTTCAATGCCAGGGACCCCATTATACTTAACTTACCATATACCAGGCTCTATGTCTAGCACTTTATATGCACTTTCATTAATCCCCATGATAACCCTAGCACATTCATTTTTAGAGGTGATAAAATTGAGTCTTACAGAGATTAAGTACCTTGCCCAAAGAAAACAACTAGTAAGTGGAGAAGCTTAGAGGAATACACAGGGTCTGATTTCAAAGACCATGATCTTATTTACATCTACTGCACATTGAAGAACACTGATTAATTCCTCCCACACTCAACATGACAGACACATTCTATCTCACTCGACAGGAGACTGATTTTAACATTTAAAATGAGAATAAAGGTATACAATCCTTTGGAAGAATGACAAACTCCAAATAAAATACTGTTTAAATGAGACATAAGAATCATTTTATAAAGATCTACTTTGCAATAGTTTCCAAGAATACTATGGCTTCTGAACATTGACTCCAAACTAAAAATTCTAGCATCTATCAACTACCCTGCACAGTCCTTCATCTTTAAAACTGCTTGGCTAAAGGCATGGCAAACTTCCAGCTTCCCAGTATATATATGTACAGTGTATCACACAATAATGCTGAATATTCTATATAATCAATTAATTAAACCATCAATCACTCATGTCCACATTTAGACATTCAGTGCAGGTAAGTGACTATGCCCATGATTACTAACCATTAACAACAGTATTTTAAGATAGTATTACCTGTGATGAAAATTTAATTTAAAGGAACATTCTTTGCATAATCCTAAAAAAAAAAAAAGTGACACCACTGAAAAGCTGATTTTGAATTAACTGTACTGCTACTCTTTATTATCATACATTCCCATTTTTCCTTATATCCCTTTTTCAGGCTATTTGAAAAAACAATCTGATTCATTCCACCTTAAAAAATGCATATGCATAATAAAAAGGGCAACAGAAATGTGTGAAGAATTGAAAATATTCTAACATTACTTTAGAAAAAAGTGCTGTCAATTTACTCCAAAAGCAAACTCTGTTCATATATAGCACTAATGTGTGTCTCACATCAAAGATATCTAATAAAAATAGTGCGGGTATGGTCACTTCCTCTAAAGTGCTCTAAGAGTTTTCAACTAGAAAAGAGCTTTTCAAAAAAAAAAAATTAAAAAAAAAAAAAGAAAAGAGCTTTTCAAAAAGTTCCACAATTGTGGCATCTTCTTTTGCCTTAATCTTAGTTCACTCCAGTTGCCTTTCCCTCATGAGTACTTCCAGGAGGAACTTCTGCATTGGTGTGCATTGAGTAGCACCTGAGGAAATTCTTGACTTTGCTAATGTACAGAAAACTCTGAAGCATATTTATTTAGGAGTCAGAGAAGGTTGCTAACATGATGGACAAAAGAAGCTGACCCATAAGACTAGCTTAGTTTAAAAAACAAAGAAGGAACAAAAAGTTCTAAAACATATTAAGAGAGACTGCTGTATTCTGGGGTATATAACCTTAAGCTTTTAAGAGTGATATCAAGAACAATTAGGCCATCCTAAAACTTTTTATTGACACAAAGAGAGTATATTTATTGTCCACACCACAACAATATGGCTACCAGATAATGAGAGATTTTACATTGCTTTTTCTGATACTCCAGATCTCATTCTGCATTCGTGACATTCTCATATTAATGGTAAGAGGTCTCCATTTGGCATTAGAACTATTTCACCTAAAGGTCACCATAAGGCTGAGAGTATAAAAACTTCGGCTCAAAAGTTTCTGTCACTTTGAGAAACTCAGAAAAAAGTGCACTTCCAGAAAGATACATTAAAATTTTTAAATTAAATTTTAAATTAGCCTATATATTTTTATATCTGAATTATTAGATAAATTTTGAAGAAGTCAATTATATCCCACCTAAAGTCAACTTACTTAATTTAACAAGTGCATTTCTCTTTTCACCATGCTCAATATAACCAAAATTAACTTCCCAACTCTTCAAATCTTCTTTTTTATCACAGCACTTATTTCCACAGAAAAATTGGCCTGCAATAAAGAAATATCGACTGTGATAGTTGGTGACAATATTTATCTGTACAATCTAGAATTGCTCCTGAAATTTACTCTTAACATACATAAATTCTTAGTTCTAGGTAGTAAGCACCAAAAACTAACTGAGCATAATAACTACAGTATGCTCAATGGATGTGTATACAAGTATTAAATCAAAAAGCTGAAGAAAATGTTTTTAAAAAAAAATCTGTCACAGAATTCTTGCTCAATAGATACACTGTTTAGATAAGGGTTTCAGTGACTCCCTGTTAGGAAATCTTATACTTTGGAAAATGGAAGTACAAAAAGAGTATACTGAATGATACTCTAAAAGAATAAATGTATTTTCCATAGTACGTGTATTTACACCCGGGTGAATCCTTTTTAATAGTTAATAATAATTTTTAAATTGACTAAAATTCTTATTTTAATTATTAACTTTATGGCATCTATTTTAAATACCAGCATAAAATGACATTTAAAGGACATTTTAAAATGGGTGGACTCAAAAAAAAAAAAAGGGTGGACTCTGAGATGAAGAATAAGTAAACAAACCCAATGTTCTAAATTTTAGAGTTTACCTGACACTAAAATCAACACCACCTTATCATGTCCACTGTGTACTAAAACGTTTTGCAAAGAAGGATTAACACGGATGACCCATGAGAAAAAAATAAACTACTCAACAACTATTTACTTTCACAGCAGAAGATGAACCTCCTATTTGTACAAGCAAAAAGGAATTTTTATCTTAATCTGCACCAACAGAAACAAATCTAAACTTTTTGTAAAAAAGAAATTAAAAATGAATTCTGAAAATTATCAGTCCAAAGAGCCTGTAACTATTCTATAACTTTTCTATGCTATAACTTGGCATTTTTTACTCATTCCAAATGAACACTTCATGAAATCTGTGTATGTTTAATAATGTCTCTATTGCTAAAACCAAAAACGTTATACTTCTAAACCAAAGCAAAAGCTTTCTTTCACCAACTAATTCTTTTTTCAGTTATACTAACTTAAAGAATGCCCATCATTTCTTTAAGGCAGCATTACTTACCATCACCTGAAAATGCCATCTAATAAAAGTACAAAATTTTAAAACTGTGAGACATTTCAAAAATTTTCATTGTTTAAGTAAAAACACAAACTAAATGTAATACTAAGAGTTTTAAAAAGTTAAAAATAGCTTTAAATTTATTCATTTTCCTTCTCCTTAGAGTATCTTCACAAAGCCAATCATTCTTCTAAAGAAAAAAAATTCCTATTTCTTAATTTTGTTTTACTGCATATCCAGTTTTATACCTCACATAACATCCAATTCATGTAAGATGTAAATGACCCACAATGATGACAACAATGTTTAATCATTTTAAAATGCAACCTTTATTTTCAGTTTAAAGGTTTTTAAACTATTAGTTTAAAATTATTTCCTAAATGCTCTTATGTAGTTTTCAGAAGCATTAACACTTTAAAATGCAATTATCAATAAAGAGTTAATTTAATATAGAGACAGCATAAAGATATTAATTTTTCAGAGATCTATGAATAGATTACAACAATGAGTAAAAAAGCATTTATTGATTGCCTATCAAATGCCTATCAATTGATTGCCTATCAAATCTTTTGCCATAAGACTAAATATTTGGGCTCAATCTCAATGACATCACAAATAAGAACTAACTTGTCCAAAAATTCTATTAGGTTCAAAGTGATATTTAATCTCTACTTTCAAACATGATTAGACTAGGGGTGCCTGGGTGGCTCAGTGGTTGAACATCTGCCTTTGGTTCAGGTCGTGATCCCGGGGTCCTGGGATTGAGTCCTGCATCAGGCTCCCTCCAGGGAGCCTGTTTCTCCCTCTGCCTATGTCTCCGTCTCTCTCTCTCTGTCTCTCATGAATAAATAAATAAAATATTAAAAAAAAAAGTGGTTAGACTGGCATATAATAATACCGACTCATTATTCCAAAAGTTTATAAAAAGAAAAACTCAAGTATTCATCCTTTATTAGTTTCTTTTAACTCTTTAGACATTTTCTACTTCTACTCCATTGAATGTTCTAAAACCAAAAATGTAAAGGTAAAAATCACTAAAGCATTATATTTTGACTTTGCTAGTAATATATCATGAATACACTGTCTCTAATTTTACTTTTATAGATAACCATTTATTAAATACATGAGGAATAATCTTATCTAATGACTTTAATTCAATAATACAACAAAATAACCTTATCCTATTAAAAAGTAAATTTTCAAAAAAGAAATTACCTTTTCCTGAAATTACTTCTTTTTCTACTCGCCACCTAAATCCAAACTAATAAGAAAAAAGTTACATTTACACTAGTATAAATTTAAACACTATTTAAATTGTATATATATCTAAACATAGAGCCAACAATTGACATAATGACATTTACCAACCTAAAAAGCAAACCTAATTCTGCAGGAGGGGAAGATGGCAGCAGAGTAGGAGGACCCTAGGCTTGCTTTGTCCCATGAACACAGCTAGGTTAACTATCAAGTTATCCTAAATACCCTAGAAATCCATCTATAGACTGGCAGAACAAATTCCACAAGTAAAGGCAGATGAAGAGGCCCCATCAAAGTAAATAGAAAGTGTGGAGATGTGACTTTGGAAAGAAACAGATAGTGGCTGGTAGGGAGGGACCTATGGTCAAGGAGAAGGATGAGAGATGGGATTAACACACAGGGGAGCATGCAAGGCAAATGAATCCACATAGTAATTGGCTTGGAAGGCAAAAAAGACCAAATTTGGTGAGTTCATGCAACCAGTACTGCTTAAAGTTTAGAGTTTTAAAGATTAGCATGCTTGGCTCTGGGAGACCTTGGAGGACATGGGGGCTGCTCTTGGACAGAAGGCAGGGGAAACACCCCATGGGCATATAGTGTGGAAACAGTGATTGAAGAGTGCCTGGGGCACATAGTGCAGAGGTTAGTTGCTCATGTCCCAGAAAGGCAGTGTTTAGAGAAAAACCCCTCTGGGAATAAAGCAACTGGCCAGTACCATTTCCCTCTCCTACCCCTCAGCATAAACACAGGGCCATCTACAGAAATCAGCACAGTGCTGACACTCACTACCTAACTTGCTTACACCAGGCCCTGCCTGCCCCCCTTCCCAGGCACACTTGCCTCAGTCTCAGCACAATGATCCCCCCCTCCCCAGACCACTAACTCAAACCCCTTCCAGACCATGTCTCCCTATCTGGGAGTTTTGCAAGGCCTTGGTTCTAAGTGGCAGTGACAGGTCTCATTTCACGAGCACACCTAGCTAAAACACACTGTATTCAGGCCAGAGACTGAACACTGCCTGTGACAGGCAAAGAAAACATTTGCAGACAACTGGCCTGAAGGATAAAGCAGCCAGGACACAACAGCAGAGTGCATGCAGTATACACTGGAGACACTCCCAGAAGTACCAAGCCCTGGAGAACAGGGGGACACTACACTGCAGGGCACTACAGGTTCTCTTCTGCATAAAGCCAGTACTCCCAAGAACAGATGTAGCTGACTTTCCTAACACACAGAAACAAGCACAAAGATTTGAACAAAATGAAAAGACCGAGAAATTTGTCCTAAATTAAAGAACAGGACAAGGCCATGGCTAGAGATCTAAACAAAACAGATATAAGTAACATGCCTGATGGAAAACTTAAGCAGTGATCATAAAGATACTCACTGGACTTTAGAAATGAGTGGAAGGCATCAGTGAGACCATTAACACATTAACACAGAGATAAGGAATAACAGCAGAGATAAAGGGTTCAATACATGAAATGAAAAACATGCTTCATGGAATAAAAAACAGGCAGGAAGAAGCGCAGACAAATTAACGGCCTAGAAGACAGAGTGGTGGAAGGTAATCAACATGAACAAACAAGAGAAAAAAGAATAATGCAAAGAGATAGTAGATTCAGGGAACTCAGTGACACCATCAAATGTAGTAATATTTGTATTATAGGAGTCCTGGAAAAAGAGAGAAAAAATGGGGCAGAGGATTTATTAGAAGAAATAATAGCTGAAAACTTCCCTAATCTGGGGAAAGAAATAGTTATCCAGATCCAGGAGGTGCAGAGAACCACCAACAACATCAAAAAAAGCAAATCTCCACCAAGACATATTGTAATTAAAATGGCAAAATATAGTGATAAAGAAAAAATATTAAAAGCAGCAAGATGAGACAGTTACATACAAAGGAAACTCCATAGGGCTATCAGATTTTTCAGCAGAAACTTTCCAAGTCAGAAAGGAGTGGCATGGCATATTCAAAGTGCTGAATGGGGAAAAAACCTGTAGCCAAGACTACTCCATCCAGCATGACTATCCTTCAGAATAGAAGAAGAGATAAAGAGCTGCCCAGGCAAATAAAAACTAAAGGAGTTCATGACCACTAAACCAACCCTGCAAGAACTATTAAAGGGGACTCTTTGAGAGGAAAGGAAAAACCAAAAATGAGAGTATGAAGGTAGGAAACACAAAAGCAGTGAAAATGAATATTTCTGTAAAAAAACAGTCAAGCAACTCACAAAATAGCTACAGCAGACAACAACAAAAAAAATAAAAGTCATCAAATAGGTAAGGAAGAAGTAAAACTTTCACTATTTGCAGATGACATGCTACTGTATATAAAAAATCTGAAAGACTCCACCAAAAAATTATTAACTGATCAACAAACTCAGTCAAGTCGCAGGATATAAAATCAATGTACAGAATCTGTTTCATTTCTATACACCAATAATGAAGCAACAAGAAGAGATATTAAGAAAACAATCTCATTTACAATTGCACCAAAAATATATGATACTTAAGAACAAATCTAACCAGAGAGGTGAAAGACCTATACTCTGAAAACTATAAAACACTGATGAAATAAAGTGAAGATGACACAAAGAAATGGGAAGACATTCCATGCTCATGGATTGGAAGAACAAATATTATTAAAATGTCTATCCTACCCAACCCAAAGTAATCTACACATTAATGCAATCCCTATCAAAATATCAAAAGCATTTTTCACATAAGTAGCACAAAGAATCCTAAAATTTGTATGGAACCACAAGGGACCCTGAATAGCCAAAGCAATCTTGAAAAAGAAAAGAAAAGATGGAGGCATCACAATTCCAGACTTCCATGTTACATTACAAAGCTGTAGTAATCAAAACAGTACAGTTCTGGCACAAAAACAGAAGAATAGAGAAGAAATGAACCCACAAGTATATGATCAATTAATTAATCTTTGAAAAAACAGGAAAGAATATCCAATGGGAAAAAGACTGTTTTCAACAAATGGTGTCGGGAAAACTGGACAGCAACAAGCAAAAGAATGAAACTGGACCACTTTATTACACCATACACAGAAATAAATTCAAAATGGATTAAAGACATAAAATCATGAAAATCCTAGAAAAGAACACAGGCAATAATTTATTTGACATTAGCCACAGCAACTTTTTTCTAGATAGGTTCCTTGAGGCAAGGGAAACAAGAACAAAAATAAATTATCAGAACTATATTAAAAAAGGGATCCCTGGGTGGCGCAGCGGTTTAGCGCCTGCCTTTGGCCCAGGGCGCGATCCTGGAGACCCGGGATCGAATCCCACGTCGGGCTCCCGGTGCATGGAGCCTGCTTCTCCATCTGCCTGTGTCTCTACCTCTCTCTCTCTCTCTGTGACTATCACAAATAAAAAAATTAAAAAAAAAAAAAACTACCTTTGCACAATGAAGGAAACAACCAACAAAACTAAAAGGCAATCGATGGAATGAGAGAAGGTATCTGCAAATGACTTATCTGATAAAGGGTTAGTTTCTAAAATATATAAAGAACTTACACAACACCCAAAGAATAATCTAATTTTTAAAATGGGCAGAAGACACTAACAGACATTTCTCTAAAGAAGACATATAGATGGCACACACAAAAAGATGCTCATCATCATTTATCATGAAGGCAATGCAAATCAAAACTACAAGGAGATATCTCCTCACACCTGTTAGAATGGCTAACATCAACAACACAAGAAACAATAGGTTTTGGTGAGGAAATGGAGAAAGGGTAACTCTCTTGCACCATTGGTGAGAATGCAAACTGGTAAGGCCGCTCTGAAAAACAGTATGGAGGTTCCTCAAAAAGTTAAAAATAGACCTATACTACAATCTAAAAGTGGAACTAGTGAGTATTTACCCAAAGAAACAAAAACACTAATTCATAGGGATACATGCACCCCTATATTTACAGCAACATTATTTACAATAGTCAGGATATGAAAGCAACCCAAGTGTCCATCAATTGATAAATGGATAAATATAAATATAAATACACACACACACGCAATGGAGTATTATTCCGCCATATAAAAAATATCTTGCCATTTATAACAACATGGATGGAGCTAGAATATAATGCTAAATGAAATAACTCCATAGGGATTCCTGGGTGGCGCAGCGGTTTGGCGCCTGCCTTTGGCCCAGGGCGCGATCCTGGAGACCCGGGATCGAATCCCACGTCAGGCTCCTGGTGCATGGAGCCTGCTTCTCCCTCTGCCTATGTCTCTGCCTCTCTCTCTCTCCCTGTGTGACTATCATAAAATAAAAAAAATTAAAAAAAAAAAAAAGAAATAACTCCATAATAATATCATAGGATTTCACTCACATGTGGAATTTAAGAAACAAAACAGATAAGCAAAGAGGAAAAAAAAGAGAGATATAAAGACAAACTAAAAACAGACTCTCAGCTATAGAGAACTGATGGTTACCAGCAAAGAGGTGGTGGGAGGAAGGGTGAAATAGGTGATGGGGTTAGGAGTGCACTTGTTATGAGCACCCCTAAGTTAAAAAAAAAAGAAGCAAATCTCATTCTCATCATGATAGCTTTTTCCTCCTTTGAAGACTCTAGGTATTTAAAAATACATTTGAACAATACCAACTTCTCTGTTATGGAATAATCTTCTTTACTTTTGAACTACCTATTAAAAGGTATAATGCTAGGCCACAAGATACCTAAATTAAAAAAAAATATGTATCTTGTTTTATGACACTGACTGATACAGTAAAGAGGCAATATACTACAGTACAAAAGAATTAGATTCTCTGAGTTTACATCTTAGCTCCACTACTTAACAGCTTTATAATACTGGACAAGGTATTTAATGTTCTTGTGCCTCAGTTTCCTTATATGTAATGTAGAGATAATACAGTACCTACTTCTTTAGGTTAAGAGGTTTAAATGGGATAATACACACAAAGTATTCAGAATAATACCTGGTACATAGTATCCCAGGGCTTAGCAAACTATGGCCTGCTCCCTATTTTATAAACAAAGTTTTATTGGAACACAACCAAAATTATTCATTCTTGCATGGTTCTTTCTCCACTGCAATGGCAAAGTAAAGAACAGGAAAGAGGAAGGGAACCCTTTGGAGCGCAAAAGCGGAAAGCAGTGAAACTTCTGTACAGATTCCTAAACATAACTTTGTTTTTTGGCTAAAAATAATTTTTCTTTTTTTTTTTTTTTTTTTTTTTTTTTTTTTTAAATTTTTATTTATTTGTGATAGTCACACAGAGAGAGAGAGAGAGGCAGAGACACAGGCAGAGGGAGAAGCAGGCTCCATGCACCGGGAGCCCGACGTGGGATTCGATCCCGGGTCTCCAGGATCGCGCCCTGGGCCAAAGGCAGGCGCCAAACCGCTGCGCCACCCAGGGATCCCTAATTTTTCTTTTTTAATGTCTTTCATATTCATATGCTAATTTTCTATAATTTCAGTAAATAACTTAGTTTTCTATTCAGTTTACTAAAATGGTTAAAAATTCAGCTTTAGAATTATGCAGACCCAATGTAAGCTCTACCATTCATTAACTAGTTCTGGGGCCTTGGAAAGTTTCTCAATTTCTCAGTCTATTTCCTTTTTATGTAGAAAAACCTCAATCTTATAGGTTGTTGTATTGAGAGATAATTCTGATAAAGTGTTCAATGCCTGATTAACTTTGCCTATTTTTATTTTTTTATTACTTGAATTTGACAATTCTGTATTTTAAGTGCAAATGAGGGCTCAAAATATTTGAAAAATATTCTGATTAAAATCCTCGGGATCCCTGGGTGGCTCAGCAGTTTGGCACCTGCCTTTGGCCCAGGGCACGATCCTAGAGACCTGGGATCGAATCCCACATCGGGCTCCCGGTGCACGGAGCCTGCTTCTCCCTCTGCCTATGTCTCTGCCTCTCTCTCTCTCTCTCTCTCTGTGACTATCATAAATTTAAAAAAAAAAAAAATTAAAAATTAAATCCTCCTAGCCTAGGAAAAAAAATTAAAAACTCAAAGTAACTGTTTAATTCTGTTTTAAACCCATACATGTATGTGAGGATTGCCTGCCATCTAACATTTATGTTGGGATGTCCAATGAAGCACATACCAATGTGTACACCAATAGCTTCTCAACTTTTTCTTCATTAATCCATTCAACAAATAATATTCAAATATTTGAATAATTATTAAGCAACTACTTACTGAGTTTGGCACTCTGCTAAAGATAGGATTATTAAAACAGAGTCTAATGTCAGGAAGTTTACAATCTTATAGGGGGATAGGAAATGGAACAAACAAATACAGTATGTTCTACTAGTTAAAGGTTGCATAGAGGTTTTGTCTCATTGTGTTTTTTATATTCTTTCCAGACATAAATTTTCCTGCTGATAGGCTGTATTAAACACTAGAGTTACTAATGATTTGGTGCTAGGCCTCCTTCTCTTAATCTACCTTCTAGTACAAAGAGATCACACATGCAAGCAGTAAGACAGAGAGATCCTAACTTCCTGAAAACAAAGTTCCATGACCATCTACTTGGAATTCTATGTAGAAGAAAAATAAACTTTTGGCTCATTTAAGCCAGTGTTATTTAGGAGTGCTTCAAGAACTCACAGCTGAATCTATTCCTAACTGATGCAACAATCCAACAAAACTCTCAATGATGAAAGGGAGGAAGTAATAAGGAAGGGAATAGGTGTGTGGGACAAAGGCTAGAATTCACTAAAAATGCCCCAAGTAACAGGTGCTAAACTAGGAGATGATTAATTAAAAATGAATAAAACACTGTCTTTGTAGAAATGAAACTATGAGAAAATGCATCCTAGCAAGGAAATCAAAGATACTACTCTTAACTCTCTCCAATACCTCAAACATTGTATGCCCAAAAAACGTCATATTTTCTAGAAAAGACCCCCCCTTATACGTATGGAGTAAGGGGCACATCAGAAATCCCTGTACCCTCCCCTTAATTTTGTTGTGAACTTAAAACTCTCTAAAAAATAGTCTTTAAAAAAAGAAAGCATTTACCTCACTCCACATTTCCTACTTCTTATTTCTTACTTGGATTTACCCTCATATCTAACTACTCATCATGTTCTAATAGGAACATATGTAAGACTGATGAATCACTGACCTCTACCTCTGAAACTAATAGTAAATTATGTTAATTAATTGAATTTAAATAAAATTTTTAAAAGGGAAAATATAATTTTTTCCAGATTATCCTCTTTAAAGTACGATTTCCAATAATATATTACATATTTTAAATGGAGATACAAATATTTATTGTTTTATGTACACTTTTCCCCCTTGACTAGATTATAGGGTTTTTTTGAAAGGTAGTCATGCTTTAATTCACAGTGCCCTGCCCATCCTTAATCAATCCTGAAGAGCAATCAACAAATGAGCCAGTGTTGAAAAATCTGCTTTATCATGCAATCCTAGAAAGATGTATATTTTATACTCGACTTGCACTGTAGTAACTTCAAGTAACTCCAATTACCGTGGTGCCTTTTAGATTTGATATGATCAATAACTAGTACAGAGAGGAGAGCTAGTTCCTAAGAAACTGAGAAAGTCTTTGGGTTACATGACATACCCAAACAGGGGTATGTAAACAGGGTTGCAAAACTGGACACTCTTATCTATAAAAATATTGTGAAGCAACCCACATAGTAAAGGCACTATTGAAAAAAAATATTAAACCAATCATGCTTCTGAGATTTAATTAAATGAAAAAGAAATACTTATAATAAATAAATCTAAGACAATTTTTTAAATAGACTGTCTTAATACAAATGTACACCATCTAAAATATACAGATTTATGCAACATTCTCTCCCCCCATTTCAAACTGACATCATCTGTTTCAGGTCACCTTCTCCAGCTGCAAATGTGAAATTTGAGATAGAAATAAAAATCACTTTAGTATCAACTAAAGTAAGATGTAAAGCAAGAACGGAAATCTGCCATTACTAAATAGCACTGATAAGAGTTAATTCTACTAAAACAGACGTTGATATAAAAGAAGATATGCACCTGCGTCTTTATAGATGGTAATTTATTTGAAAAAAAATATCAATTTCGAACACCATCCATGATACAAGACATCATCCTGCAGTGTCAAATCATTCATTATAATCAGTAAAGGCTCTAGGTCAGGATGAAACAGGATCCAGTAGCCACTTGTGTTTAATTTTAGACTATTCATGCCTCAGCTCACAAAGTACCCTTGACTAAGGGGCCCTTTGTAAATTTCATAGCTGCAGAGGTTAAACCATCCAGATGATATTTCATAGATACAAGACAACCTACACTTGAATTAGCACCTTTAAAAGAATAACGTGGGGCATGATAGTATAATTAAAAGTAATACTATACTTAAATAAGAACCTTCTATAAATATTTGGAAGGCATACCTTATTTTCTTTGTATCTACTGAGATCTGCTATGCAATATTCCTTGAATAATTTATCATAGTATTTCTTTGCAAGTCTCTTCTCCCTAGAGCCATAAAAAATAGATAAATCTTTTACATTTAGAAATTCAACCACAGTTTGCCACTTGGAAGCAATGTCAAGTAAATAACGTATATCATATATATATTAATGTTTTAAAAGAGGCCTATTACTTACATGTGCATAGACTACTTGGATGTTAACTATTAATAGTGGCTCTCTTAAGGGGGGAAACTAGAAGATTGACAGTCAGAGGAGAGGAGACTTACTCCTTGCTTTTTATCTTTTGTAATGTTTGCACTTTAAAACCACTTTCAGCTTGACGGGATGAGCACTGGGTGTTATTCTGTATGTTGGTAAATTGAACACCAATAAAAAATAAATTTATTTAAAAAATAATAAAATAAATAAATAAAACTTTCAGGTATTACTTTTTCTCAAAATATTTTTTAAAATTTTGTAAAAAGTGTATTACAGGACAATAAACAATACAGTAAAAATGTAATAGATTTTCTTTTCAAGACAAAGTAAAGCAATGAGAAGTTAGTTAAAACTGCTAAAAATTACTGAAAGAACCAAACCAGACTCAATACTCTGAGGCACGTTTTTATGTCCTCCTTATCCTCCATGCACAGGCCAAATGCCTTGGACAGGTGGCAGGGTAAGAAAACACAGAGAGAACAGGAGAGACAGGACTAAAGTATTTTATGCGTTATGTCTCAGGTGGAAAAAATTACCAATTCATGTCCATTTCATCTTCCTCATTCCACAGGAATCTATGATTTTCTCGTATAACATCCATATCTGTCTTGTCATTTTCCCTGGAAAATAAAACTATTTCAATTACACATAACCACAAAATTTAGTCAAATTTAGGAGGTTAAACAATTCTGTGAGATTTTTTAACACTTGAGAGAAAATACATGAAGATATAGTTTTCTGTGTGAATATATACATATGTACATATATTTATAAAAACGATTTTCATATTTTCAAACGACACTTATGAGTGCTGTTAACAGAAGCAAGTGGATAAGGCATCCATTCACCTCTCGTACTGGCTTCAATTATACAGATGGTCCTAAACGACCAAAGCCAGGATGAGAAACCTGAATAAACACTAAATGGACTTATTTTCATAAGTTTAGAATTGAAAAAAAGTCAGTAACCCCATCCCACTGAGCTCACATTGAAAAACCATATGAAGAGTTTTCCATATCTCATTTCACTACAGCTTTCTAGAAAGACTGAGTAAGGGCAGAAGAGAATTAGAGAATGCGGGGGGGGGGGTGTATTTTAAGATCCTAACAGTCTGGGGGTATAACAAGGGAGTGTTGGGGAATATAGGCTAAATTGAGAGGGGAGATAAATTTGGGGTAGATGAGATCATGAAAAGTTTTTTAAGGCTCTACCTAACTCAGAAAATTATTAAGTCACAGAAAAAAACCCACACAACCAAGAGTCTCTGATAGAAGAGCCTCAAATATAGGAAGGAATTGTTTTTTTTCCTGTTTGCCCTATCTTTTAAAAAAGCAAGCCCAAACATTGAGTCTAAGAAGTTAATTAGTTCAAAGATCCTTGCCCAGAAAAAAAAAAAATTTACTGCATATCAGGCACATGAGTATCCCTCACATATCCTATTATTGCCAGGCGCAGATCTGGCTCAACAGGCTACCTGAGGCCTGTTGCCAGAGAAATGGGATTCATGATGAGGTACTTAGCAAGAAGTTATGGATAGCCTCTTCACTTTAAGGTACTATAAGGAAACTGGAATGGAAAGCAGAAAAGAATGACAGAATCAGAAGACACAGTAGCTGTGGATCTTTAAAGACATCTACACCTTTCTCACATTCTATGTAAGCTTCATGACACTTACCCCAATCTCCTGAAGTCTTCTTTTTTGCCACCATAGTATAAAATATAGTCATTTACAAACTTTGTATGCCTTTGATACTGAAATGCAAAAAATTAAGGATTTGATTTGCTCAAGAGTTGTTCTGTGCCTATGATAAATGAGTAAGGAGAGAAAAACAGTATGAGTCTACTTAGTTTTTTAAATATGCAAATACAGGGGCACCTGGGGAGCTCAGTCAGTTAAGTATCTACTGTCCCCTCAGGTCATGATCCCAGGTCCTGGGATCAAGCCCCATGTCAGGCTCCCATCTTAGCAGGGAGCCTGCTTTTCCTTCTCCCCCTGCCTGCCACTCCCTCTGCTTGTGCTCTCTGTCAAATAAATAAAAACGATTATAAATAAATAAATAAATAAATAAATAAATAAATAAATAAATATGCAAATAGATACTGTACATGCTTATGATTTTTTAAAAATATCTACAAGGGGACACAGGGGTGGCTCAGTCAGTTGAGCGTCCAGCTCTTGATTTCAGCTCAGGTCATGATCTCAGGGTCCTGGGATTGAGTCCCACATGGGGCTTCACACCCAGTGGGGAGTCTGCTTGTCTCCCTCTCTCTGCCCCTCCCCCCACTCACATGCAGGTGGGCATTCTCTCTCTTTGAAATAAATAAATAAATCTTTTAAAAAATATATCTAAAAGGTTAAATATTAAACTGTTAGGAGTCAACAATGTAGAGCAGAGGGGCTTTCATTTTCTACTGAATACCATCTATATTGCTTTGAATATTTTTTCAAATTAAAGGTAAGGAGTACAAATTGCATTTTATTACTATAAGATATAATTTAATTATTCAAGTAATGAAAAAGTCTCTAAAATAGAAGATACAAATTTTATATATTAAATCCTAATATTAGGCTTTCAAAAATATGTAAATATAACAAATCAGATGTTTTTTATACTTTCAATATTTAAGGAATTCAGTCATGTTTAATTGTTTTTTTAAAGATTTATTTATTTATTCATGAGAGACACAGACTGAGAGAGAGGCAGAGACACAGACAAAGGGAGAAGCAGGCTCCTTGCAGGGAGCCCAATGCGGGACTCAATCCTAGATCCTGGGATCACAACCTGAGCCTAAGGCAGGTGCCCAACCACTGAGCCACCCAGGCATCCCAGTCATGTTTATTTTTAATGCAATATAACAAGATATACGAGCATTTAATTTTTTGTTTAAAAAGCTCAATGGTATTCTCTCCAGAGCAGAGCATGCAAATTACAGAACTGACCTCATCCATAATGCTGTCTGACTACACCCTATTATGTCAAAGGTAAATAATGACTTAATTCATCACAATATGTTCTAATAGAATATTGAATCAGAATATAATACTTCCAAAACTGGCAACAAAGCAGCTAACCTTTCAGAAAAGAAAAAAGAGAAAGCCAGATATCCAGAGATTTGCTCTTGGCCTGCCTCTAACTGGTCATACAACCACGGCAAGTCACCTCAATCTTTTAAAACTAGGGTTAGGAAATTCTGTTAATGGTACATACGTAGGCAATATGGTACCTGTCACAATAGCTTGGCTCTGTCATTTTAGCATGAAAGTGGGAACAGATAACACCTCGATGAATAAGCACAGGTATGTGGCAATAAGACTTTATTTACAAAAATAGGTGCTGAATGGGACCTTGGTTCCAGGAAGATGGTGTAGACAAAAATGTACTTCTCCCTATTCTTCCCACCCAGAACAACTAAAAACCTTGGAAATTATATCTTAACAAATATAAGACTCTGAAAGGTGAGGAGACGAAGGCATAACAGCTAGAGAGCTCAAGACCTATGGTATGACATGGTAGTAAGTTACTCAGGTTTTCTTTTTGACTCATAAACTCAAACTTAGAAATAAAGAAGCTAGCAACCTAAAAATCCCAACAAGCATAGACAAGAAGAGTCCCAACAAAAGCCTGCTCTCTCTAATTGAATAACCAAGAGAGAGGGTAGCCTAACATGAAGAAACTTAGACAATATCTACTCTACTCTAGCCAAAAATCCTAGAAATACCTGGCCCAACCTCTTCCCATGCCAGAAAAGGGGACCTACACTTTCACACTCACCAGGCTATAACTAGATTCCCCAAAACCCTCAAATGAGTGGGGTTATAGAAGGCACAACAGATGCTGAAATACTAAAGGAACAAGTGGCAGATGAGATCCATGGGAAAGCCAAGCCATTGGGTTAGAAGAAGAATAAATCGGTGGTAAGATAATTTCTGTAAGTTAAAGAAAAAGATTAGGAATGATAACAAAGTGAAACAGATGTCAACAGGTAGATGATGTATCTAATTGCCATCATCTCCTTCTCTTAATCCTGACTATAATAATAAATACCACGAAACACTATAAGTCTTGGTTGGCTTCTCTTTCATTCTCCAACATTCCCAACTGTAATATGGATGGCCAGTGGTAGCAGTCAGAATAATGAGCCACAGTCTTACCAAAAAGCTGAAGTGAGACATGGCTATAACAGGGGGAGCAAGATATAGCTTAAGGATACCCCCAAGTCATGCCTGAGAGATGAAGCCACAACACGTCTGAGGACAGTCCACACACCCATCTATCTACTTTTAGGTACAAGTTTTACGAAGACCTTAAAAAGCCAAGAACCAAATAGTAAAAGAGTAAGAGTTAAAATGAGACTAAAGATAAAAGCAGTACTAAAATGAGAAATGTTGAGAGCGTGGCAAATACAGGTTGGAAAAATAACTGCAGGTTCATGGACTTTGTAAACCTATTTATAGATCATTAGTAATATGTTTTATAATTATTTTAAAGATTTATTTATTCATGAAAGACACAGAGAGAGAGGCAGAGACACAGGCAGGCACACAGGCTCCGTGTAGGGAGCCCAATGCAGGACTCGATCTCAGGACCTGGAGATCTTGCCCTGAGCCGCAGGCAGAGGCTAAACCACTGAGCCACCCAGGCGTCCCATGTTTTATTATTTTTGTCTTTAAATCTTTCTTATGTATTAATAAAACAGAATTGTACTCAAAAGTATAAATGACAAGACTGCACATCAATAAACACCTTTAAAAACATAATTTAGGTCTACCTGACTTCACAAGATTTTATGAAATAAAAAAGTAGATTTTAAAATATTCTATTGGTTATAAAAATCTAGAAATATAAAAAGGATACAGCATCCATAGCTATGAGATGAAACCTTCTATTTCTTGCTTCTTCCCTGTTAAGACAAATTTTAAACAAATTCAAATGTCCATATTCTAATTAATATAATTAAATCTCCAAGTCCCTGAGTTTACAAAAACATCTTAAGCCAAAAAAAAAAGTAATTTACAGTGAAGTACATACCTATCCAGCAATTCTGCTGCAACTTGTTTATGGGCCACCTTTCCATGTTTTTCTTTCTGAAATGGCTTTTTGAGCAGTAAATCATCTTCAATTGTCCTGTTTGTGATGAAGAAAAGTTAATTAAATTATAAAAGAAAAATTATCAAAAATTATTAAAAGAAAAATTATTATAAATTATTTTCTCAAAAGGCATTTGCTGTTTCTTTATACTTTAATAATTGGAACATTTTTAAAAATTCAAGTCTTAAAAAAGACTCACTGATCTTTAATGAGACATGTTAGTCTTGCTCCAATAACTTAATTTCTTAACTTTATTTAATACTTAAAAAATAGAGAGGGCAGCCCAGGGGGCTCAGTGGTTTAGTGCCGTCTTCGGCCCATGGTATGATCCTGGAGACCTGGGATCAAGTCCCACGTTGGGCTCCCCACATGGAGCCTGCTTCTCCCTCTGCCTGTGTCTCTGCCTCTCTCTCTCTCTGTCTCATGAATGAATGAATGAATGAATAAATAAATAAATATATATATATATATAAATTGAGAAGATGAAACTAATGAATGGGTTCTGGGGTCAGGCCACCCAGATTTCAGGATCCAAACTTGGGCTGTGTCATTCACTATCTTAATCTTAAACAAGGTTAAGTTACTTGATCTCTTTCTGTCATAATTCTCCTGTTTGTAAAGTAGAGATATTGAAGCTTTTGGTTGGTAATATAAAAAAAGAGCTAGATTATAAGTGATATAGACTACAGATGATCATCCCTAGTTAAGAAGATAGATATAACCCTAGAGTAGAAACTATTCAACTAGATTTACTCAAACTCTATTCTTACAATGTAGTATTTCTGAATGAAAAATCCTGAAAATGTAAAAAACCATACAATGTAATTTATTATGATTATTTCTATTCTTTTGGTTATCCATGAAGTCTGAGTATCTAACAAAATGTTCAGTCCCATTTAGTATGCCTAAGATATGGCTCTCAGTCTGAAATAAAGCAATTTTTATAAGTTTGGTTAATATGAATCAGTCAACCACCCCTAAGTTAACAGATAAAATCTAGTTTCCAAGCACTAAAAGCTGAAAACAATGCCCCTTAACACAGCAACATTACCAAGATGCACACTTCTTATAAGGCCCAGGTTTTTTTTTGCTGACAGCTCTTGTCCCTTCCAATTCAATAAAAACTTCCATGAGCTCCCTCCTTTGAGCATTTAGTCTGTTCATTCACAAAACCATAAAACTGCACTGTATCACAATCTCACCCTCCACATTAACCTCATTTTGAAGTCACGTACTTGCAAAGGGACCACCAACCAAGCCCCCTTCTTAGCTATGACGTTTGCAAATAAAGTCCTTAAAAGCTGGATGAAAAATAGACGCAACAGAGAAATCTAAGAGTTTTAATTGATTTCCTCCCCCCCCCACTTCCCTTTCCATAAATCCCTTTAAGTTAAACATTACTTTCTTATTTTTCACATAACTGTTCTCAAATTCTCAAGTCAATCCATTGTAGTTTAATAAACAAAAATTCATTCAGTAGAGCAACACTGTCTTCCCATGCAAACACAATCCAAAAATTTTCAAATACTTATTTATACCTCACCGCAATCTAGAAAGGATCTGAAACACAGATAAAAAAATTACTTACCTTTTTTTCCTTTTGTTAGATTCTCCAACTTGTTCATCATCACTAAAATCAGAATCATAGCCTCCATGACCATGCATCTGTAAAGGAGTATAAAGTCAGTTACTTAGAACTTAAGTTGCCATAGTTCAGGAAACACAATAATTCAAAAATAAGTCATCTTTAAAAGCCGTAATAATTTTAATGGATCATGGTGGCTATATCACTGTTCGTGGGCTATCCAGCCACCTAAAACTTTCATTCACTTTGAAATAACAGATCTACCCTTCAGAAAGTGACTCAACATTTTCCACCTTAAGTACCAGGAGGCTACTCTTTGACCTCATTGAGAACAAGCTCTAGAAGCTGCTGTGTGACTGCACACAGGGTTGTGATGCTTCACTTTTGACTCGAGAGTACGAACAGTTGCTGTGTATTTATTAATATCAACTATGCTCCAGACATTATGGTAGGTCCTTGACAAATGATGCTAATTCTGTAAGTTAGGAACTATTATCTCCAGTTTACAGATGAAGGAATCAAGGACAAAGTTAAGTAAATCAATTCTATAGCAGTTAAGTGGCTGAACTGACCTACTTGATTCTTAAACTCATGATTCCAACGACTGCAGATTGCCTCTCTGGAATATGCTAACACGATTATGCTCCACTAGACTTAACGTATCTGTGAACAGTACACCATCGATGCATTAAAACTTTCCTCTCTTTATTTCAACACATGCTGAGGTTTCCTTTTTCCTTTAAAACGAGTTTCTTTGAGGTAAACAGTCCTGCCTTTTGGCCTGGTTAATTTTATCTTGTTCCAACTCATCTCATTAACTTAAATTCTTAGAAATACTGAAAGATTTCAATTGTCACTCAGTTGTGTTGGAAACCTCTGGTTTCAGCATTATATTGAATTTGGGACACACATTAATGGGAAATCAGTAGATGATTTGACTTTTGATGTCATACTCAATTCATGCGGCCCCAAGGAACTAGTCCTGGTCAAATGATACCATCAAAATGTCTAAACGTTAATATTTACTATGACAAGTGCAGCAGGAAAAAGAGGAGAGCACTCCCTAAGCTTTCTGGCCCTAGACCTAAGACAAGGTGCGTTCTAGTCGTGGCCACCTCGAGTAAACGAAGTCTGTGATCTTTTTCAAACTCTGGCACCTGGGGCACACCTCTCCTTCCTGGCCCACGGAATTCTAGAGAGGGAGGTCCTAGCCCGGGTGGGAGGTAAAGGCACGTCTGTCACCCTCCCGTCTCACACCCCTTGCTCCAGCTGGGGTGTCAGTCTGTTCCAGCCAGCCTCTCACCGCTGAGGTCCTCACTTTCTTCGCATCTTGAGGAGGCCGGCCGCTGTGTGGGGCTTAGAGAGTTTATCTTGCCATCCGCCGACCACAGGGAAACCCTGCTCTGAGCCTTCCACTCGTCTTCGTTGCGCATGTTCCTTAAGCTCTCCGGGCCTCGGTGGGGCTAGTAGTCAGACTACCGCCCTCAGGGGACTGCACGTTAAAGGAGCTACAGCCTACCAAGAGTTTTAGAGGACAGTCTGACACGTAACGATCCCGAACCTGTTGACCATTATCAACGTCGTCTTGTTCCCACCACCTCCTACCCTTGCTCCCCCTCGCCCATTTCTTTTTTCTCTGGCGTCTGCATCCCATACCCATTTCAAACGAGAGGTTGCACGAAGCAGCTCTCACTCACTTCAGGCCACGAACCAACTGACAAGGGCCGAGAGAAATGCGAGAAGGGAGACGCCGGGTGTTTCTAGAACCTACCAAAAGAATAACAAACAAACAAACAAACAAACAGAAAAAGATAACCAACTAGTACCATGTGAGGAACAAGTTTGGGGGGCCTCCTCCCCGACCCCAGGTACGCTCAAGGCCCTTCTCACACGCCCCTTCCCCCTCCCCGCTCTGCCAAGGACGCGCGCGGAGTCCTTCCCCCTTTTCCCCGCGGCCACAGCGACGACCCACGGCCTGAACGCGCCGCTGCAGCGCCCGCCCGGTCCGCGCCGGCCGCACCGCCCCGCCGCCGCGACAGCCGCCGCCGCCGCCGCCGCCGCCGCCGCCGGCTCCCCGCCTCTTTCTACGGGTCCCGACTGGGCGCCGCTTCCGGCCCGACTCGGCCGCGTGTCACATTTACAGGACTCCGTCTTGGGGCGCGGCGACCTTGTGCTACAGCCAGAACAGCCCCGGGAAACGAAGGCGGCGGAGAACGGGGCCCGGAGCGGAGGCAGAGGCTTCCTGCTTTCTCAAGTCGAAGCCCTCGATTTTTTCCTGGGCCTCCTTCCCTTCGGGAGCCCATCGTCTAACGTCGTGCGGCGGCACTGCTCACACGACGCCCACGCCCTGCGTTTGAAAATGTTTTGTTTTAGAAAAAGCCCTGCCTGCATGTCACCTGCCGTCCTCTTTCTAGTAACCTTAGTAACGCCTCCTCGGAGCATCCTCGCGGAGCGTCTGTCTCCGATCTGCCGCTCCTCCCCCTTACAGAAAACAGTTCTCATAATTAGAACGAAAATAACTTTCCATCATTCCACCGCCCACACAATGGATACCATTCCAAATGCTGTGCTGGTGGCGGAGATGCTCACGGAATATCGGAGGAAAGGAAGAACAGGGAATAGGGGAGATGGCCCAGGGTCTCGGATTCTCTGCAGGCAACCACCTGGCACACGTGAAAAGGGATCCAAAATATTTCTTTTTAAAAAAGAAGACAAAGGGAAAAAAAAAAAAACACATAGCAAATTTTACATTATTTGAGCTCCACCAGGTTCTCCCTGTGCTTTACCTTTTCCATGCTATGATGCTCGGTTCTGCTTTGCAGACTGGCTCCTGGGCTCATGATGTCCGTCTGCCTGCAGCTAATGCCGTTCACCCTTGCTGCCTCCCCAGCAGCAGCAGCAGTTCCTTGGAAATCAGAGGCGCTAATTAAGTATTTGTTGAGTTGAACTGGCAAGCCACTGACTTTTACAGCGGGCCCGTTTTAGAGAACACTTTGGCACTAACAGAGATACCATTTTACATCTTTTGCATTAAACAGAAGATAATGATATTCACGGCCCCCTTCTATTCCTGACAGAAATTATAGATAAATCCTGCTTTACTCAATGCAGTGAATGTGATCTTAAAAATCTGCAAGTTGAGTTACTGTAAATTCGATTATTTCAAAATACAATCAGATTATACTTTTCTTTGAGAGGGGAGGGGAGGGGGAAAGAGGAGGAAGAGACAGAGTGTCTTAAGCGGGGGTTCACACACTGCGGAGCCAGATGCAGAGTTGGGTCTCAGGACCCTGAGATCATGACTTGAGTTGAAATCCGGTCCAATGCTAAACTGACTGACCACTCAGGCGTCCCAGATTATGCTTTGGTAAAAACATTTACTCAAAGAATATAAAGTACTTTAAATTTAATATTATACAACACTGAATTACTTTGTCAAGCAGTTCGTTTTTAAGTAAATATCTAAAATCTATATTTAGTTCTTTTATTACTACTAAAACCAAGCACATCTGTACCTTGTATTCAATTTACTTTCTACTAGTATTTGACATTTAATAGCATTTTTCTACCATACTTGGTATGTTTCTGTTATCAGCCCCATTTTGCAGGTGAGAAATTAAAGCACAGAACTTAAAGCCACAGACCTGGTGAAGGTCTAGAACTATGAGTGCTTGGCTCTCAACAAGACTCAGTTTTCTCTCTGTCTGTGTGTCTCTGTCAATTTCTCCCTCTCTTTTTAACTCATTGATTGTGTGGAAAGTAGACCCTGGTTCTAACACTTTAAGAATTTTAGATCTGTTGCTGCCAGACCATTCAGCCAAATATTTGCATTTTTCCCTTTGAGGCAACAGTTATTGAAAGAGAGAAAATAGGATAGATCACATGATCTGAACTAAAAACAATTTGCGCAGGATAGAAAACCTACCTGAACGGAAAATCTCAAGTTAGCAATCAACAACTATAAAAACACAAATATGTATTAAGTGCTTGCTCTGCGCAGAGCACTGTTCTAGTTATCAGGGTTACAAATATGTAAAAGCCACTCCTTACCCTCAAAGGTTGACAAATAATAAAGAAAGAATATATAGTATAATAGCAGCAATGTATTCTATGCAGGCACCTGGCTGGCTCAGTCATAAAGCGTGTGACTCTTGATTTTAGGGTTGTGAGTTTCAGCCCCCCTGTTGGGTACAGAGATTACTTAAAAAATAAAATCTTAAAAAAAAAAAAAAAGAACAACATATTCTATCATATGCCAAGTACCTAGTAAATGGCATGAACCTATGGTTCCTAATCTATAAAATGTGCTATTTCAATGAATGTGAAAATTTAAATGTACACCAGTGCCACATGCCATGCTCAAATAAAGCAACAAAATGCTATAATAAGTGTGTGGGGGATCCCTGGGTGGCGCAGCGGTTTGGCGCTTGCCTTTGGCCCAGGGCGCGATCCTGGAGACCCGGGATCAAATCCCACGTCAGGCTCCCGGTGCATGGAACCTGCTTCTCCCTCTGCCTGTGTCTCTGCCTCTCTTTATCTCTCTGTGACTATCATAAATAAATAAAAATTAAAAAAAAATAAGTGTGTGGTGGGGGTGAGGGAAGTAGGTCTCACTCCTGTGCATTACCCTTCACTGTCAACATACCTACTCTTATTGCAAAAGTTCAAAAAGCTTCTCTGGGAAACAGTAAAGAGCCACATTTCAAAGTCAGCCAGACTTTCCTTTACTTACTAGGTGGGAAATCTTGAGCAAATTATTTAATTGTCTGAGTCTTAATTTCTTCATCTACAAAATGGAGATTATACTAGTAGCTATCTCACAGGGGTTATTGATGTTAAAATGAAATGATGCAGCGAAAATGCTTAGCATGATGCCTAGTTCATAATGAGTATGTAATGAATGCTACTTGAGGAAAGAATCGAATAACAAGCATTCTTTCTTGAGAATAAGATTAACAATTAACTGCTACTTAAATAGAGCCCAGAAACAGATCCACACATATGTAATCCCACGATTAATGGCATAGTTTTAAGTGTGGAATTTTCAATAGATAGTTTTGGGTCAATTGAATAATATGGGAAAAATACTGATTCCTACTTTACACCATACACAAAATCAGTTTCAAATAAAAAAAAAAAAAAGGAAAACATCTCCATGATATTTCATGATATCTTCCTTAGGGTATAAAAAAATTTTCCTAGACAGGACACACAAAGGGCTAACCATGAAAGAAAAAAAAATAAAGACTTCTGTTCATTTAAAAGACTTTATTAGGGCCCTCTGGGTGGCTCAGTGGTTGAGCATCTGCCTTTGGCTCAGGTAATGATCCCGGGGACCTGGGATCGAATCTCACATCAGGCTCCCTCAAAGGGAGCCTGCTTCTCCCTCTGTCTATGTCTCTGCCTCTCTCTGTGTCACTCATGAATAAATAAATAAAATCTTTTTTTAAATAAAAATTAAAAATAAAAGACGTTTTTATTTTTTTTATTTTTATTTTATTTTTTATTTATTTTATTTTTTTTTATGATAGGCACACAGAGAGAGAGAGAGAGGCAGAGACACAGGCAGAGGGAGAAGCAGGCTCCATGCACCGGGAGCCTGACGTGGGATTTGATCCCGGGTCTCCAGGATCGTGCCCTGGGCCAAAGGCAGGCGCCAAACCGCTGCGCCACCCAGGGATCCCAATAAAAGACTTTTTTAAACAATGAAAAGTTAATTCATGAAGTAGGAAAAATATTGCAGTATGCACATTTAACAAATTACCATATTATATGAAGAACTTCAAAAATCATTAGGTAAAAGGCAGAAACCTAATAGAAAATTTAGCCCAAGTCTTGAACAAACAATTCACCAAAAAAGATATCCAAATGACCAATGCATGTAAAACAAAGTGCTCATCTCTATTAGTTACCAGATAAATGGAAATTAAGAACATCATATACACCATTACACGCCCACCAGAATTGCTAAATGGAAAGGATGGATTGACTACTAATGAATATATCCCGTGTCTCATATATTCCATTCCTCAGTGTATTTTCAACAGAAAAGTGTACATATGTTTATTCAAAGACCTGAACTAGTTATAAATAACAGCACTATTTATAAGTAAAACACAGGAAGCAACCCAAATGTCCATCAGCATTAGAATAGTTAAATAAATTGTAGCTTATTTACACTATGGAAGACTATGCAGCAATAAAAGAAAATAAACCACAACTATATGCATCAGCACAGATAAATCTCACAAATATAATACTGGGCAAAAGAAACATTGTATATGCAAAAGAATATCTATAATACAATCCCATCTATATAAAGAACAGAAGCAAAAGTAATCTGTTATGATTTGGGATAATGGTTTCCCTGGTGGGTGAAGATGAGGTGACCGGAAGGGGGCACAAGACAGTAGTGGGGAGGGCTTATGGGGAGATGACAATATTCTGTTTATTGATCCTTACATTCATTACATGAGTGGTTCACTAACACCTACGGTTTATATACTTTTTTTTAAGGGTTTATTTATTTATTTTAGAGAGAGAGAGAGAGAGCAGGGGAGGGGCAGACGGTGAGGGAGAGAGAGAGAGAGAGAGAGAGAGAGAGAGAGAGAGAATCTCAAGTAGACTCTCCATGGAGCCTGACGAGGGGCTCGATCTCAGAAACCTGAGATCATGACCTAAGCATCTGAAATCAGGACTCAGGTGCTTAATTGACTAAGCCCCCCAGGTGCCCCTGGTTGGTGTACTTTTATGTATGAATGTTATACTTCAGTAAAAAGTTTATGTTTTAATAAATGTAACTATTCCTAGAGGTTTTTAAAAACTTTGACTCTGCTGGGTAAATGGAAGTGTTAGTGATTAAAGCAGTGTCAGGCATGACAGAACAGGTTGGGGAATAGGTGAGATTTCCTGGGGAATTATGCCATATAAATGCTACATAGTCAAAGACGAATTTCCTAGGCACTGAGATGAGGGCAGGTAGGAGGTAGTGGGGGATCTCTGTAAGTGCTTAGTCAGTACCCAAAGAACTGAAAGCACTCAGGCC